AAAATTAGAATAAACTGAAAAGAAACTGATTTAGAACAATGTAGGAACAGAGTAACCATTAAATACTTTGTCTTAAGAAAGTTTGGGGTAATATGGATGTGAAATTAAATGCCTTGCCTCTTGTGAATTTTTAATTCTAGTAACTATTTCTAAATTTGTTTATATACATGTAAATTAGGATGTAAAAGATTGATACGAATTTTGCTGATTTTTTTGGTGGTGTGCACTCTCTTCTTTGCTGATACCTAATGAGCCACCTTAAATTTTCCCCTTCTGTACAACTCCCCTTAATTTTTTTTAAAATCATATCACTAGAGAAGGGAGTCTGAAAAAAGAGGCAGTGATTGCTGGATCCACTGGTTTGTAGGCACACACTACAAGGTACCTACGTGCATAGGATTTGGCTTTTCCATTTAAGCAGAATATCATTGCAGAACAGGAAATAGCAGGGTGTGTGCATTTTTTCTTCCCGTATAAAAATAAAATGGGAGCCGCCTGTACAAGTAGAGCTTTGGCAAGAACACTATAGTTCGTATCTTATCTTGAGTAAGAAGCAAACCCACTGCATCAGCATGCCCCTGGAATTCACTACACCCCGAGCTCAGTGATGTGATATTTTCTAGTGTGAGCTGACAAAAGATTGCACTAACGTTACACCACTTATCTTATTAGCAACTGAGCACCTTGCTTAGGCAGAACTGTATCTCCTCCTGTCACTTCGCAGCCTGATACTTTAACATATATTCCCTTGAAAGACAATTAGTGGAAGTCAATTAAAGCAACATGAAAATCCACCTCAGAGGAGCTCTGCCATATGCAGAACTGCTGAAAAGTACTCCTTTATCAAGCAGTTCCCAGTCCTGTTTCTTCTATTCCCCTTCTACAGCTTTTCTATTCTTTGTATTGTTGTATTCATGCTTTTTTCATGTGGTTGCTTTCAGGGTCAGGTATATTTGTCTATGGTATTTGACTAATGAAGTCACCTTTTTCCTGGAATTATTATTTTACATTTATATTTTACAGACATACAGTGTAATTATCTTCAAGGCTAGGTTGGAGTCAATAATGTGGCTATTTAAGTCACCCTTTTTAGAATAGCACGGAAGTACAATACAAGGTTATACTTAAGAATCTTAAAACAAGTGTGTGGTTGAAAATCTTCAGCTTTTGGATAGTGTAGAGATTAAATAAATAAAAACATTCCAATTGATCAATTAGGAGATAATTCATCAACTAAGGCTGCTACATAGAGTCTAGACAGCCACAATATCATTTGGACTCCCAGCTCTGACCTTGGAAATGCGCACTGGAGTGAGGCATCCATGCTCTGCCCTTGCAGATGATATGGAAAACATCAGGCTGATTGCAACATATATGTATATTTTAACTTATGTGGTTTTATTTATTGTTGTAAGCCACCCCGAGGCTTCGGCGAATGGGGCGGCATAAAAATGTTTTAATAAATAAAAAAAATAAAATAAAATAAACAGCAAGTTGTACGATGCTCTTCAAGTTGCTGTTTTAGGAGGCGGGGAGGCAATATTCTGGTGGCACCACAACCTCTTTGCATTCTGGGGCAAAACACTTTGACTGCTCTGGACACTTAAATATTTTGCAAGGCAAGGAAGTACAGCGGTTTGCATCTGTGTTCCTTTTGTCCTCCAGAGAATGCCCATAAGCTGAGTTTGGAAGGTTACTGGCAGCCAACTGGATTACACTGCAGAATTCTTTACTAGTGGTACAGTAGTACAACAGTAGTCTTTAACTGAGGTATATTAGTAGAAGTACCAATAATAACAGTTGTTATTATTCTTATTAACAGTAGTTAGTGCTTAACTATCATTGTTCTATTTCAGATAATACTGACTATAACAAGAAAATTAAAGTGAAATACCTTGTCAGCTACCCACTAGCTAAAAAAAACCATTCTGTTACTGCTCTTCAATTTCCCACTGAACTCTCATAAGTACCATTATTACCATTACCATTATTTTATATAATGTCCATATATAAAGCACTCTGGGCATTTGCAACAAAGTATAAAAACTATAAAATACATTACATAAAACAATAAAAAAATTAATTTAAAATGATATGAAATAGCATTAAATTAGAATTAAAAGACAATTAAAAATACCCAGCCAAGAGTAAAAGGCACCTGGCTGATCCCATCAGGTCTCTGAACAATCAAGAAGGTCTTTAAAGGCCCCCACAAAGAAGGCTGTCTTAACCTGGTGCCAGGTGGGCTGCAGCAGGGAGGTTATTCCAAAGATGAGGAGTCACCACCAAGAGTGCCAGCCTCTGGAAAAACCTTCTGGAAACCTTCTGGATCCATTAGCCTCAAGGTTTGGAGCATCTTAAGGCTCCATAAACCTTGTGGAGGGAAAAGCTGTTGTAAGTCTAAATCTCAGCAAATGGTGATCTGATCATGACAGGGACTGAGTCAAAGTCCCTCACACTCAGAGCACCATCTTCATATCCAGTTGAGAAGACCAAGTCTAGTGTATGCCCCACCACATGTTTTGGGCCAATTACACGTTGGAACAGTCCCGTGATTGTCAGGGTGGCCATGAATGTGAATGTTAAAGGCAGGGGGGCGGAGTGAAGAAGGACCACCAGAAAGGGACCACTGTCGACATGGCAACCAGAAGAGACACAGCCTGCCACCCAGCAGCAGCCCTGCTTTTATGCCAAGGGGGTCTACTGGGATTCCAGTAAGCATGCAAGCCCGATGGACGGTGCAGGGGCCAGGAGGAATGTGGGAGGGCAGTGTGTGTGTGTTGCCGGAGGGTCAGGGGTCAGGTGCAGCAGCAGCTGGTCTTAAAGCACCACACGACAGTCCTTTTTCCTACCAGTCCCCAAGCCTCCTCACCAAGACCCAGTCTTGGGGTACAGAGTGCCCTGGACAGACTCTTCTATATAGAAGCTCCCATTAAAAATTGCAAGCTCTGTTAAAAAAAATCACACTTCTAGCAAAGGAGAATAGTGAGCCCTAATCCAGTGAAATCCACATAGGCCACAGCCTTGTGAAACCAAGGCAAAATGCTTCTGCTCAGAGAAGGCAAGAAGCTTCTGCTCAGACAAGGCAGCAATCACTGCAGGCCACAGTGTGTTCTTTAAAGGATCTGTTGTTGGGTTATTGGAGGTTGATTAGCCCTTAAATGACCTTGGTTTAGATAACATGACAAGCCCAGCAAGCCCCAGCTAGGCATTAAATATTCAAAATGGTGTAAAAAGCCATGGCCGACTGCAGTGATCATGTGATCTGCCCCCCAGGAATAGAATCAGGTCTTCTCTTCTGGTCAGAAATAATCTGTTATCGGGAAGCATGTGTGTATTCCTTACAGTTGAGCCAGGAATAGAAATAACACTCACACAACCAATTCCTGTATATGGTCCCCTATTCCACCGGGACTACACTTACAGAAACCTGCTAGGCATTCATATTAATTCTGACAGAATATATGAAATATATCATATATGAAAGATTTGTAATGCACAAAATGCTACTAAATGATCAAAATCGTTCTACAGAAGTTCTAGATATGGTAACAAGTTACCATTTAGATTTTAGACTTTTTTGGCATCATCCTATTTGTGTCTCTCAGGAACCTTTATTTCTGTTCTTCTTGTACATGTATATGTGTGTATGCATGTATCATTCTGGTTTCATAGAAAAGATTTAAGTATAATGCAAAGTTGTACAACTTTCTATTAAAATCATTCAGGCAGAAGAATGTCTTAGTGGCAATTATAGCACTCCTTATCATCAATTTGCTGGAATATATGGTTTTTTGAGAAGCAAGAATATATTTCCAAGTTACAGGAGTAGTGCTTCCAGCTGGCCTGCTGGGGGGATGTGATTTCTAGGCTTAATAAATATGTTTAGTACAAAACTGTTGATTAGCCACTCTTTCACACCAATCTTCATAGACTGCTTTCTTCATAAATGTAGGAGACAGAGACAGCTGCTGATTGTGTTGCAGAGTAACCAATGGCACAAGGCGAATTTAGCAGTTCTACAATTAATTCTGGAAATAAGCTTCCTTCTTCAAGATCCAATAACTTACGTCGTTCTGGAAATGGACATTTCTGCTAATTCCCCATTGTTTTTAGAACCACAGGAAAATTGCTTCTGCTGGCACAGGGCCACAATCAAATACTGTCCCATGGATGGCGTGAACGAACCAGAGTGAGGCATCAGATTTGCATTCTTTTCCTTCTTTTGATGTATAATGGGGTCTTTGGACCAAACATTCAAGAGGTTGCGCCTGCTGCTACAACCTCTGGTAGGCCACCTACCAGATTCTAGGAGAAAACAGCTTTGAATCAGCAGCTACAATTGGTCGCTCCTGCACTCCACCGTGTTCATGAGGCTGAGCTGCAGAAATGTCCCTGCTAATGTATTAGGCTACTAGGGGAATCAACTGGCCAGGGAATCAGCTCCTAGCCCAGGCCGGCCCATTTTCTCCTTCAGCTACCATCTCATTCGACACAAAAGGCAATGGGAACAAGAGATGCCACAAATGGGCTTCCCCGGGAGGTGGTTGAGGCCCCATCGGTGAGGGTGTTTAAGGATAGGCAAGACATGCACATGGTGGGCATGTCGTGAGTGAAGCTCTGACTCGCTCTGTTTCTATGTTTCTAAGGATTGGTCCAAATCTTTACTGTCTCTGATTTATCAAGGCACTGGCAGTCCATCCGCCACATATTGTTGCCTGTGGCATTTAATTTGTATGTCTTTATTTATTGTTTCCCATAAATACCGTGTAATCTGTTTTGTGCCTTTGGAATGATTAAAAAAGTATTCAGTAGCAGTGATTTTCTTCCATCTCATCTATTTGCTTTCATTTTACCTGTTACAATGTTCTTTTATGACACTAAAGAAGAAATGCTTTCAGAAACTACCTTAATTGGATGTTTTTCTCTTTAAAAATGTAGCATGAAGGCAAGAACATTGAAAAGACTATTAAAAGTAAAAAGCATTAATTGCCACTTACTTTGCTTTTGCTTCAGCATCCTCATATGCTTTATTGGAAACGTCATCCAGGCCCCCGATCAAATGTTTGAAAGAGCTGTAAAAGAAAGCCATATTTTAAAGAAAATGATTAAAACACTTCAAGTATTACTCCTGATGTAGATCCTGTGAAGAAGATAACTCCAAACAGAAATGGCACTAAGGGAGCAATCCTGTGCATATTTAGAAATAAAAAATTGGGTATCTTCTTACCCAATCTCTTTTGCTTATTTGTTAGTTCACTGAGGGGGGGGGGGTCCTATTTCTTTCCATTCCCTGGAAGGCTGTTGTTCATGGATAAGTCTGCTTGTATGTGCTACCTAGTCACAAACAACCTCTCTGATCTGCAGAGACAAAGATCACAGTGGTGTACAAGCATTTTGGGACTTGTCTGCCATTACTGGTCTTATAGTTGAAGACTCCTGAGAAGCTCCTACTGAATACCATTTCCTGGCCTGAGTACTGCTTCTCTTCAGCATTCAGCAGTTTTGGACATAACTGATCCAATAATAAAAATCATACCAATGTCATAGTTTCCCTAGGATAATTCAGAAAAAGGTGTGATTTTTACTGTCAAGTCTTTTCTGATACTAATAATTTCTGCTTCTGTAGGATTGCAGGACCTGGAGTTCATGAATGGTAGATTAATAGTCCATACAGGGCCTCAACAGCCCTGATACCTCTTCCCGGACTGCTATTGGTGATCTGGTATGTGGAGACAGCCACTGAAGGAGAGGCTGCTGGGCCCTTTCCTTTTACTGCCTAATTCTCTATATTTTAAGAAGCATTGACCCAATCAAAGTCTTAGAGTGTTGTATGTCCACTTCCTTTTCCATGAGTTAAAGCAACTAGCCCACATTTTACCTTTGAATATTTCCATGCTATCCCTTGCAAACACTGTCTTGTTTTGCTTTCAGTCATGTGTCTATGGATGTACTCAGATAAAAACTGTATCATCATCATAATCAGCAGCAGCAGCAGCTGTTGCTTTTATTGCTGCTGTTATGCTGTATTCACATCATGCCTTTGTTTTCTCTTGTGAGGAACCAAAGGCAGTTTACATATAGCTCCATTTTATCCTCTGGGAGGTAGATTAGGCTGAGAATGAGTAGCTGGCCTCAAGTCACCTAGTGTAGTTCTGCTGACACATTACTGTGAGAAATGAAGAGAAGGAAGGATAAGCCTAAGTCTGGGAATCAAGCTGTGCTGATAACTCTGCATTTCTTGTTACTTCCATAGTGGTACTGCTTGAAGTATCTCTTGGGGCTTGCCTTCTGGAGCTAAGAACTGGCCTGCATGTGCATGCATGAGTGTCCACTGGTGGAAGAAATAAGTGAGGAATGTGCAGGGAGGAAAGGGTTGCTGCTCCACTTGCCCCACACCACGATCCTGATAAAAACTGCCTTCACCACCACTCCAGCCACCCTGGCAACTATTAAGCATGAAAAAACCACCACGACCAGACTTGCAAGTGATGCATTTAGCATCTCATCTAGTTTGGCTTGTTGCAGATAGTCCTGTGCCCAGTAATCGAAACTAGCTGCCTTCCTAAGACGCTGGTGTATCTGCTACTTCTCCATGGTTCCAACATATTGCAAAAAAAGTTCTGGGAAATGAATCACAAGGGAGGAACAGATTTATTTCTGGCCAGGTAGCATACGAAAGCAGACTACCCCTGTGAATGCTCCCTGAGTAAATTAAAAAATAAGCAGATTGGAGTGGGATAGTGTGTAAACTTATCCACTTCTTGGTGAGCTGGGAAACAGGTTCTCTCCGTTTGGGGCACTGAGCCGGCAGTGTGCCGCCCCAACCTGGAGACAAGGGAGGTTTGCTGCCTGCTGGGCACACGCATCCGGCATGTGAAGGACAGAGTGGAGCATCTTGTTCGCTCCGGGGGTCACCAGCCGCTCCTGGTGATCCATGTGGGCACAAACAACGTGGCCAGGCAGGGTGTGCTCGGGGTCACCAGGGACTTCGAGGCCTTGGGGAAGAAACTCAGGGACCTAAAGGCCCAAGTGGCCTTCTCATCTGTCTTACCAGTCTGGGGATTTGGGCCAGGCAGGGACAGAAGGGTCGCTGAGGTGAATGACTGGCTTAGGATGTGGTGCCAGAAGGAACGCTTTGGGTTCCTCAACCACAGCACCCAGTTTCTTGACAATGGATTTCTCGCAAGGGATGGTTTGTACCTCACGAGGATGGGGAAAAGGTCCTTTGGAGATGCTTCAGCGAGCTTCATCCGGAAGACTTTAAACTGAGCCAGGGGGGGTTCAGGCCCCCCAGAAATGTGTCTGCACTGGACAAGTGTGGGGAAAGGATCAGGGCTCTGGGAGCAAGGTTTTAGAGGTACTTCAGGGACAGACAGGACTCCTACAAAGAGGGGCCAGGTAACAGGGAGGATGAGAGGAAGGAGCAGGCTGGGAACTCCAAGGAAAGGAAGCGGTGGGAAGGAGTTGAGGTGCATGTACACCAATGCTAGGAGCATGGGTAATAAGCAGGAAGAGCTTGAAGCTCTCCTGGGAATAGGAGGGTATGACCTGGTGGGAATCACAGAAACTTGGTGGGATGAAAGGCAAGTCTGGAATGTGAACATAGAGGGGTATCACCTTTTTAGAAAGGACAGGAAGGGAAAGAGGGGTGGGGGCGTGGGATAGGACGCCACGCCCCCAGGGAAGGGATAGGATGCAGTGAGATAGAATGCAGCACAGATGGAGATTTGGTAGAGGCAGTCTGGGTGAAACTTAGGGGGTTTTGACAGGGAAAGTGACCTGAAAGTGGGGGTATGTTATCGCCCTCCAGGTCAATTTGAGACCCTAGATGATGGCCTGACAGACCATTTTCTAAGGATATCTTGAGGGAGAGACACAGTAATTATGGGAGATTTCAATCTCCCGAATATTAGTTGGGAGACTTACTCAGCAGTGACAGGGGAGATCAGGGGACTGGAGACGTGCAGCAGATTGAGCACTAGAAGCTGGGACTTCAAGAGGGACAACTTTGGCCAACTGAAGGCCAGACTGGGGAAAGTCTCCTGGGATAGGTTACTGGAAGGTAAGCGAGTTGAGGAGGTGTGGATTGCACTCAAGAGTGAGGTTTTGGAGCCGCAAGCCTTGACCATACCTCTAGATAGTAAGGTGGGGAGGCGGAGGAGAGTGCTGCCATGGATGTGAAAGGAGGTGGTTGAAGCGATTAGATGAAAGAGGAATCGCCATAGGAAATGGAAACTGGAGCAAATTGACAAAAGGGTATACTGGGAAGAGGAGGTTCATTGCAGAAGGATTCTTTGCAAGGCTAAGGCTGATTACGAGCTGAGACTTGCCAAGAATATCAAGTGCAACAAAAAGGGCTTCTTTCAGCAGGTAAATAGGAAGAGGAAGGGGAGACAAGTGGGGGGACCACTAAATAAGGAGGAAGGAGATCCAGTGACTGATATGAGGGAACAGGCACAGATGCTAAATGACTATTTTGCCTCTGTGTTCTCCCCATAGCAGGACGGGGGATATCCGCATAGATCAGATGAGGCTGGGGACTTAGGGGCACAGATTAGAGTCACTCCCCTTGAAGTCGAGGGGCTCCTCAGGGCATTGGACATTACAAAGGCGCCAGGCCCTGACGGGTTACACCCGAGAGTACTTAGAGAGTTGGCAGGGGTTCTCTTAACACCTGCTGGCCTCCAGTTTTGAGGCCTCATGGACAACGGGTGAAGTTCCAGAGGACTGGAGGGTGGTATCAGTGGTCCCACTTTTCAAAAAGGGTAGTAGAAGGGACATGGGGCATTACAGACCTGTTAGCCTTATGTCCATTGTAGGAAAAACAATGGAAAGTTTCATAATAGAGAGAGATCTAGTGATGCTACATAGGGAAGGGAGGCTGACAGCCACATAACACAGCTTCCACAAAAACAGGTCCTGCCAGACAAACCTTGTGGAATTCTATGACAAGGTTTTGAGAGGGCTAGATGGAGGGGATGCAGTGGATGTGGTATACCTGGATTTCAGCAAGGCCTTTGACAAAGTGCCCCATGATATCCTGGTGGAGAAACTGAGGAGTTTTGGGATACACCAAAGCATTCTCCGGTGGATTAGGGTATGGTTGACTGACCGAAAGCAGAGGGTAACCATTAATGGGGAATCATCGGGATGGCGGCCAGTGACAAGCGGGGTCCCCCAGGACAGAACCCTGTTTAATCTTTTCATCAATGACATGGAAGAAGGGGTGAACAGTCTGCTGATCAAATTTGCAGACAATACTAAAACTGGAGCAGTGGCCACAACTGAGGAGCAGGTACTCCATATCCAAAAGGATCTGGACAGACTATGGAAGTGGGCAGGAGACAACAGGATGGCGTTCTATGTGGATAAGTGCAAGGTCTTGCACTTGGGGCACAGGAACAGGTGTCATAAGTACAGGTTAGGGGACAAGTGGCTGGAGAGCAGCACTTGTGAAAGGGACCTCGGGGTACTGGTTGACCGCAGGCTAAACATGAGTCAGGAATGTGATGTGGTGGTCAAGAGGGCGAACGCCACCCTTGGTTGCATAGCCAAAAGTGTGGCTTCTAGATCGAGAGAGGTATTACTACCACTCTATATGACTCTGGTGCGCCTGCAACTGGAGTATTGTGTTCAGTTTTGGGCCCCTCATTACAGAAAGGATATAGTCAGGTCAGAGTCAGTGCAGCGTAGGGCCACAAGGTTGGTGGCCGGTTTGCAGGGGATGCCGTATGAGGCGAGACTGAGGGAACTGGGTCTCTTCAGCCTGGAAAAGAGGAGACTCTGAGGGGATATGTTGGTGACATACAGGTATGTGAGGGGATGTCACATGGAGATGGGTAGAGACCTGTTCTCCCCTGCAGAGGAAGGCAGGACACGATTCAATGGAGCAAAGCTCAGGGAGCCAAGGTTCCACTTCCTGACAGTCAGGACCCCGAGGGTGTGGAATGGGCTTCCACGAGAGGTCGTTGAAGCCCCATCGGTGTGAGTGTTCAAGGATAGGCTGGATGTCATGAGTGGAGCCAGCTGGTGCTGGAGGTCAAACTAGATGGCCTGGGAGTCCCCTTCTGAC